CGCGTGGATCTCAATATGTCACTTCATGTAAGACGCTCAAGTTAGCTGCATGGTAAACTGCCTGTGCAGCAACCCATGTGGCCCTGACAAAAAGAAAGAAGAGGGAAAACAAACCAACAGGAGAGCAAGATACCCTAGAGATGAGCTCAGCTAGCAGTAAGAAAAGTAGTATTTTTGAAATCAGTAATAGAAGGGGTATAGGATTTACAGGTATTTTCAGGAAGGGAGAAAATACCAAGAAGCTGGAGTGGGCCAGGGAGGATGAGGATGCGGAAGAGCACCTGCAAAAGACTAGGGCAGGTGGGAGCAGGCATGGTAGAGCTGTGAGCTGTCCTTAGAAAACACGGCACTTGTACATTGCTGCTACTTTTCTTTCTCACCGCAGGGGCTAGCGTAGAGAAAGGGAGAATTTACTGTAAAAATGTGGGCTTTTGTAAGAGCAGGTGCCATGCTACAGAGTTGATTTAGGGCCGGTTTGTGGATTTTAATGCTCTCCCATGTCTGATCCTGCCTGGCAAAAGCTTAATGTCATGCTCTGTTTCGGGTATTATCTCAGATCCATCTCGACTCTGAACTTTTATATAATGTTGACTTTTAGCAATAGGCCCACAGGAGCAACTAAGGGAGTACCAGGAGTTACAAGTTTCATTTTCTTCCAGATTTTTAATGCCATATTTCATAGGATGAAAATGTCTTTGGACAAAATAATTTTGGCATTTTTCAAGTACTGTGCGCATGGTCAGCTTCTGGCTTAAAATATGAGCATCTCCACCAAAATGCATATGCGTCTTTGGGATTTTCACCAATGGAGATTTGAAAGGCAGTTGTTAATGGCCAGTAATCCCTGTTTGGAAGCAGCAGTGCTTCCGCCGGGGCTGTTTTCCAGGGAAGTACCTTGCGGAGCTGCAGAGGAAGCTCCCACGGAGTCGCAGGGCCCACCCTTAGCAATGGGGTTGCCAGGGAAACAGCAAAACTGTGATCGTGTGAGAGATGGGGAGAGAGCGACAGGCAGATGAGGGGAATTTGCTGCAATTTTCATAAAAATAACTGCAACTTGTTAAAATATATATATTTTTAAAATATATATATATGTATATTCTTCTTTTTTTTTCCATAGGTAAAATATGCCATATTAGCTTTATAGAAACTAAGGTCTGACTCAAACACTTGGTATGGGGAAAAATCCAAGTGATGTGATGCTTATTTCTTGCAAAATGTTTTGAAATAAAGGCCACAGCTCATTTTGTCATCACTGTTGGAAACTTCAGTTCCTTTGAACATTTCTAACCACTGTATGACTTCCCCTTGAAGTAAGAGGAGCATGAAGCTGCACACGGTGTGCAGGTATATCTGAGAGAGTGAGCATATGATCTATCAAGTAAGTGCAAGGACTATTAGCTACATCAAAATTATTCCAAAATTGGTCTTTCCTTGAAATAGCTATACGCATTCTCCAGAAGATTATGTCATGGTGCTTGGCTGTTGCAGTGTTTTTTCTGCTTGCTGTAACCATATCAGCTGCAGACGTCACATAAATAAAGATGGATTGAGCCTGATTAATAGATGCATAAAAGATTTCCAGTAATATCTAGCTCATGCAAAGAGAGTTGTTATTTTCCCTTCTCTGTTAACTAATCAAGTGAAGATGTGTCCAAGCTGGATATTGGAGACCTTTGTACTATTAAAATGATGCCTTTTTATGTAAGGGATTGAACATTTTGACACTGAGAATTGTGAGACCTTTTGCTGAAACAGAGCATTATTCCTCGTGTCTTGCTTTTTTTTTTTTAATTTAGTTTAGTTCAAGACCAGCCTTACAGCACATTTTAGCAGTTTAGTCATGTGAAGTACATATTTCCCATGTACTTTCTAATAGAATTGTTTTCCAATTTTGATAATATCTTAGTATTTCTCTAAATGGAGGTCACTGAAACCATCATTTGCATGTTCAGGAGAGTTTCTTTCTAGGAATCATGAAACATCTTTGTTGTAGTGGCCATGGTTCCTTCTCATGTTGATCATGAAATGCAACCAGTTTAGCTTGTGTTCTGACAGTGCCTCCTATCCTGGTGTTATCAGACACTTAAAAATCTGTCAAAATCTTATCCTAACAGTGGAAACCTATGTTTTATTTTTTTCCCTTTCCCTTCTCTACTCTTACATTCTCCATACCTGTCTTTTTCTCCCCCTTTCAGCTAACAAAACTTCAGGGGAAAAGGGGAAGGACTGCCCCAGAGGACACTGAAAGAGTCATGGAAGAGGAGAAACCATAAGAAGACACTGGAGGAAAGTTCCAAAAAAAGGGAAGAGTCAAAGGTGCAAAAACTATTAGTATCTCAGAAAAATTGCAATGCTTATGTATTATTTTGCTTTTATCAACATTGAATTTCTACCCACTGCTTTATTACCCAGTTAACAACAGACATGTTGTTCCATGGCCATTTATTACTCTTTATTACATACTAATTTATTACATACACTTTCTTTGCTGACCTGGTGAAATTCTAGCAGTGCAGCTGAGCTTATGGATGAGGAGAAACCTGGCAGGATGAGGGCAGAGTGAGGGTCAGTATGAGGAGAAGGATATAGGAGGAAATGGCAGATTGGATATATTACTATCAGTGGTGCTATGATAAACAGGAGTAAGTTTACTTACTTACTTAAACTACTCAGTAATTTAAGGCTAGCATACCATAGCATGCATGCAGTCTATCAGACTGTTATCAGAAATTCCAAGAGAGACCTTTAAATATTCTGGCACTAGAGACTAAGTAACTATATCCTAATTTTAATTGCAAATTATGCCTATTACAAGGCCTCTTAATTGTGATCCCAACTTCCTGGAGTTGGATTTGGACCTGCGGCCTGTCAGGCAATGTTTTTACCTTTTCCCATGGTAAAAGTCCCAAGAGCAAGAAAAGATTTTCAGAGGACCACATCTCTTCACTTAGGCACAGGTGTGCAAGGGAGACCAGTTTCTAATCTGATGCTGAAATGAGCAGCAGATTTCAAGCCTCCAGGAAATCTGCAGCTACTGCTCTGTGTTTTTTCTTTATCATTATTTTTTTATTTTCATGGCTACCGTGGGATTTTCAGAAGAGCTGGGGAAATCAGCCATGCTCAGCAGCATTTCCAGGGCCAGGAAAAGAGAGTGTGCGAAGTGAGCCCTTCTGCTGGTGCTCTGGGAAGCTTTAACCATAAAGGTTTCCCCGTGTCTCCCTTTCACTGCGGTGCCAATCATACTGTTCTTAAATACACCCTGTGCTAAAAGTCAGCAAGCACTCGCACTTATATATATATGGTGTGTATATATATATATATATACTCCTGCAGGCCAGGCTGCAAAGCCCATCACGCTACCGATGGGCACAGGCCGAACATCCAGGCCCGCATCCCGCAGGAGCTCGTGCTCATTCGCATTCCCGTTCCCATTCCCGTTCCCATTCCCGTTCCCGTTCCCGTTCCTCGTCCCCTCCTGGACGCAACGGCGCCGCGGGGGGAAGCGCGCGGAGGGAGGGGGAGGCGCCGCGCGGCGCTTTGCTGAATGAGTCACCGCCGCGCGCTGCGATTGGCTGCGCGGCGCGCGTGCGCGGCGGCGCCCGCGGGCCGGTCCTTCACC